TTAAACTTTTAGTTCCCAAAATATATAAATTTGTATATGTTAGTTTCAAATATTTAAATTGTGTTAATTTAACCAGAATATATAAAATGTATTTTTATTTGATGCCAACCTAAATCCGTCTAATAAATGCCATAAAAGCCAAGGTAAACGGCCTCAAAGAATTTTTATGTTTTTGTTGATTTAAAAAAGTGAAAATATCATTAAAATATAGCACTTTTAGTTCTCAAAGTGTGAGATTTATATGATTTTAATTTTTAATATTTAAATAGTATTAATTTATTTTCCAATATATTAAAAATATTTTAATTTGATCACTCATCCTAGTTCTGCCTCACTTCATCTAAACAAGAGATAAAGCATAAAAATCATAAATATAAATTTTTTAAAAATGAAAAAAAAAACCAATATCTTTAAAAAATAATAAAAATTGTGTATATATTGTGGGGAATTTTTTTTAAGGTCCCTGATATTAAAATTTTATAGTATAAAGGACACTTAATATTTTTATAATACCTAAGGTCCCTCAACATAGATCCAGAGAAAATTCGATCCAGAGAATTTCTCTGGACAAATGACAGAAAAAATTCCAAATTTCTCTGGACTCAACCTAGAGAAATTTCTCTTTCCACCTTAGAGAAATTTACTCAACTCCAGTGAAAATCCCTTCCAACTAGAGAAATTCACTTGTGTTATCTGCAGTTTGATAGCTTCAATGATTTGGTTGCATATTCACAGAGAAAATCTCACCAGAGAATTTCTCTATATTTAACCCAGATAAATTTCCCCCTCCACCCCAGAGAAATTTACTCAACCCCAGAGAAAATCTCCTCCAACAAGAGAAATTCACTTGTGTTGTCTGCAATTTGATGGCTTCAGTGATTTGATCCAACATTATTCTTATACTACAAAAAGAGACTTGATCCAATAACCATATTTATGTCTATATATTTATAATGAATTCAACATACAAAGCAATTCTTGGAATTTCTCTGGGTTCAAGACCTTGAACATTCAAATTTCTCTAGACTAACATCAAATTTCTCTGGATCTCTAGACTAACATAAAAAACCCTTGAACCTTTTTCAAATTTCTCCGGACTAACATAAAAAACCTTTGAACCTTTTTCAAATTTCTTTGGACTAACATTCAAATTTCACTGGATCTCTGGACTAACATAAAAAACCCTTGAACCTTGAACCTTTCACAAATTTCTCTGGACTAACATCAAATCTCTCTGGATCAACATTCAAATCCCTCTATTTATCCAGAGAAAATTGAACACCACAGAAAAAATTAAACAAGGCCAGAGAATTTCTCTGGACTTTTTAGAAAATTTCTCTCCAGAGAAATTTTGGGAAGGCCAGAGAAATTCTTTGAATTCCAATCTAGAGATTTTCTCTAAATTTTCTCTGGATTTCAAGTGAACCATAAAGCATAAAGTTTGTTTGGTTGCCAAGAAAAGTAGACAAACAATAACATGTTCAATAAAAAACACATAAAAGTACAACATAAAAGTGCAGAGAAATTTGTAATAATTATAATTTTCTCTTGATTGTAATAGCAAGCCCTGTTTTTCAACATATATATATATATATATACGGATCTATAAGTTTCACAAACATTTGCAATCATCAATATAATGCACAACATAACATCTATCACTTTTTTTATATTTTATATTTTTTTTCTTTTTCTTGCAGTTAACTCATCAGTTCACTTGGGTGAGTTTGCAATGGACAAATCTAGGATGTCTATAGAAAGACAAAGCACTCTCAAGTCATTAGCATTTGAAAGATATCAATACAAGAATTATATACTCTGATACACTATGTTCTCAGTTATACATTCTACATCTATGAAACAGATACATGAACTGGCTCAATAGCCCAAATATCAAATAAGCAGTTCAAACCCGTGTAACATAGTTCACTCTTCCCATACTGAATCCTTTATCTGCGGACTAGTGGCTTCTCTAGAACACTCCAAAGCTTCTGCTGCAGTCGGAGCCTCGCGAATTACGCTTGACAATGAATTTGATCTTCCAACTTTACTACTATCCTTCTCTCTTGTATCACTGATTAGACTTGAAAAAGCTCTGTTTTTCTCTGCGATTGAAATCAATGGAGTTTGTTTGGGCTTCGAGTTGAAAAATTGGTGGAAGACCTTTATACGGTGGTTCGATCAGAGCAAGAGTGGCCGAGGAGTTCTTGACATAGGGCTTCTTGGATCGATCGAGCTGGATCAATGAGAGAGAGAGAAGAGGTGATGCGTGAGTCTGAGAGAGAGAGAGACATGTGAAGGTTTGAAGCCCTGAGGTATACCAAATTTCTCTGTAATCCATAGGTATGGGGTTGAAGGACTTTAGATATCACAAAATAATATCATAGATCTCTTCCATTACTAAAAGTGGGAGAGGGACCTTATAGCTATCACTAATCACATTTTCAATTTTTTTTTCAAAATTATTGTAATAAACTGACCGTTCAAAATTTGAAGTGTACCTTTCACAATATTAAATGTAGATGTGGCATTTGTCTACATTTTCTTTGTCTTTCATTTTTCTTTCCTTTGATTCATTGTCATTCTTTATGTTGTGAAGATTGAGGCAAGATGGAAAATTATAGAGTATTTACGGAGTATCACTTGTTCATATTACATTATTAATTACCAATTACCATTTATCATATCCTTTCACATTCTTCAATCACCTAACACAAGAATGACAACTTTGGTAGACAAGTGTTTCACCGATCGTCCGAGTGATGGTCCAAGTGGTCGTTCAGGAGGTCGACAAGAAAGTGTAACACCTCACTTTTTATTACTCGGATAATGTTCAAAACCATTATTATAAACAATTTCAGAGATAACAGACAGAAATTCCAGTATCTTAATAAAGATAAGTAAATGAAGATTCTTTCATTCGTATATAGAGTAATTGCAAACATGTAACATGATTATAGCAAATTGCCTACAGGCTTACATCATTACACAAAAGAGAAAGGGTTCAACCCTTTTTACAACAACGACATTCAACCAACAAATAAAAGGCCTCGTGGCCAATTGATAATGAAGATCTTCGATCTTGAATCATTTCTTGACATTCACCTGAAATGGATTAGCAACGTGGGATGGACATAAAGTCCAGTAGGGATCCAGACATGATCCTAAACAATAACAACTTACAGATAGCTATGATCATGAATGCTTTAAGTCATACCATATGTACATACGTGTCGGTTTATACTTGAAGATATACTTATATAGGTATTGTCCAACAACACAAAACTGTTCGTTTTCTTTCTTTGTGTTACCTTTTTATTTTAAACTTGCCAGACCATAATGGGTGTTTGAAAACAACTCACGAAATCCAAATACTTTTCCCCAATTATTGAACTCACACCCAATTTCAAATTATAATTTCCCAAAAGAAGCATCCCAACAAACATGAAGACGATACATATAAAATACTCCTTACGTAACCATGTAAGACAATTGACATCCTCTACAAAATAATCATCACCATGCATGAAACACATAAATGAAACTGTGATGATAACACAAAACCCAACAAGGCTCTACCTATCTCAAACATGGTAAGCCAAGGATACACATTTCCAATACTCACGCCAATTTACCAGTCACCAGTTGGAAGTTAATGGTACCTCTGCCAAGTTCTCTAGGCGCTAACTGGAAGGCACTGGCACCCCACATTCTTAGCACAACCAATTCTCTAGGCCCTAGCTAGAAGGTAATGATACCCCTTATTCTTAACTCAGTCAATTCTCCAGCCATCACATAGCTCAAATAAATATAAATGACTTGAGTGTACTACATATACAAAATCTATTCAACATCACACTGTCACCCTTTTACCGATGACCAATGACAAAACCTTTAAGCATAAATATTTAAACACACGCAATTCGATATTCCAATGCTCCCTTAACCTTGAATTCAACAACAATGATAATGACAACAATATTCAATGGTTTCAAATCCAACCTCAAGTTCAAATTCTGAATTTACAATACACCATGGTTTCGTTCTCTTTGCTCTGTATGTTGGTTTCTCACCAACTATGAGATCTCTGCTCCCTCCTCTTTATTGATGTATTTTTCATACTTTGTATGTTTCCATCAATAAAGCTTTCCTTTTGCTGATAAAAAAAAAAAATGGTTTCAATCTCTTTTCAAAATCAATCCTTTTTTTTTCCAAGTTATATTGCCCAAATCCTTTTCTTCCAAAAAGACCAATTTCCACATTTTCAATAAAACTACATCCATGGATTTCAAGTCATAATCCAACTCAACTTAACATGATTAATCCAAATAAATTCCATTATCAATGTTGATTCTCCATTTATACTATTAACACAATAACACCACTCAATATTAACAAGGCACGAACATTATTTAACTTTACTCCTTTTTAATTGATTATGTCAAATTATAAAATTAGGGCTTTCTCTTCCTCTCAACATAAACAATTTGAACTACTCCCCAATTAACCCAAACAGCCATCAACCTTAAAATTTCCAACCCCAACATTTCAAACCCTAGATCCCCTTTACATGCTTTTAGAAAATCCATAATGAACATGTTTTTTATCAAATAAAATCTACCACATGTCTATCTATAGACGAGGTATTGGAGAGGAACAAAGGAATCCCTACCTCTTGAAGTGACGAGAAGAAAGCTGAAAAATCCACGGTGATGAAAACATGATCCACTCAAATTAAAATGAAGTTATCGCGACCCTATACGTTTTGGCCTAAGGGACTATGGGTCAAAGATGGGTAGAAGTAGATGAAAACCAAGTGGGAAGAGCTTGAAAGCTCAAAAATGGCAGAAGAAGAGAGAAGAGAGAGAGAGAGAGAGAGAGAGAGAGAGAGAGAAAAGTGATCTAGATGTGACCCAAAGTGACTTTTATAGTAGTTGAAAACAGACAGATCGCTCGAGCGAACAAAACACCGCTCGAGTGACCAGATACTGTAACGCCCCGTATTTTATCACTCGGATAACATTGCAAATATTCATTAATTCAGTCCATTTACAAATAACATTTCATCATTGGATGAAATGATGAATAATTAAATATACATATTCCCTCTCGTTATACAACAATGACATTTACATACAAATAAAAGAAATGCCCTAAGGCTTACAATAAAAGAGGAGATACTACTCTTTACAAAAAAAAAAAAAAATAGCACTAAGCCAAACAACAAATAAAGTAGTACAATCCATTACTACATTATACTTATGAAATGGTAAAACCCATTGTTTGATCTTCAAATCCGAAAAGCATTCCCTGTATACATGCACAGGCAAGGGGTGATGAGCAAGCTCACCGAACAATCTCATATTAAAACATTAAAAGATATGCGGGTACAAAGATACTCCTGCATATACGTGAAATCATATCATGTCAAAACCGTATGATTTTATTACATAATCTCTTAAATCCAATTTATTTAATTAATAACAACAAGTTAATTTAAATAAATAAACATGTTTCAATAGCAACATGACATCCTTTTCAATTCATTCAATTATCTCATTATCAATTGAATCAAATGATTAAACAATTCATCAAATCCATTTTTTATGGTCTTATGAGATGAATGCATGTGCTATGTCATGCTCAAAATATTTTACTCATCTTTTGAACTCTTATGCACAATGCCAATTTGAAAACACATTAATCCAACAATTTCAATAAAATTCCAAGATGGTAAATACGACTCAGGTAATCCCTAGACTGGTGTCTGCAAGTAGACTATACAAGTACTACCAATTCATTTCCAGTTCATAGATGCTACTCAATTCATAAGTTAAATTCATTATCTTTCAACAACCAAGATGAGACTACAATTCAATGATTTTCCAATTATGCAAAACTCACATGAATACTTCAAACCTGTCATTTTACGGATATTTCGTCCGAAGGAATCGACACTCATTTATATATAAAATTTCGGGTCTTTCACCCAAGACACTTCGGCCAACTTGCTTTAAATGGAGTCCCTCCCCTTTCTCCTCCCAAACAAATATACATATGCAATGTATTTATAAACATAATCACATATGGAGTACATCCCCTTTCTCCTCTCAATAAACATCCATATACAATGTATTTATAACATGGTCATATTCAATGACACTAACTATGGATTAACATTAAATCGCCTAATCCTCATGTAATTTCTACAAGAATTATAGTTATTCTCCACCAATAGCCCAATGCAATTATTTCTAAAGAGACGTTCAATATCAAAATAAATAATTTATTCAAAACTTCCATAGGTGAGATAATACATATCCAATATCACCATTTATAATCACAACCTTCCAATTTCACATTTTCAATGTTAATCCTGATTATTTATGCAAAATAATGATTTAATCAAATTAGGGCAAAAATCTCCATTTTACCAAATATCAACCCAAATACCAAACACAACTACTTTGGTACAACATGATCCTATATTCAAGCCTCACACTCATTTACCTCACACTTATCAAAAATCTCTCTTTTCCATATAACACCCAAATCTTAGATTTGTCCAAACCACAACCAAATCTCATCATCTATACACAATAGCAAATAACTAAGCTAAAAACCATATTAGAGTGTAAAAAACCCTACAAATTAAATATTACCATCACCAATAGATATAACCTTTTAACCAAAACTAATTTAATCCACTAAATTAGTAAGTTTATTATATTTAAAATTTTTCAAATTATAATACCAAACATAACTTCACATGCCTCATCCCTCAAACGGATAAGGGGTCACTGCTGTGCGTGAGGCACAGCAGTGACTGTGGTGCATTCATTTGAGGTGTATTATAATCTTATTTTTATGATCCAAACCGTCCATTTTGTAGGGTTTGTTGAGTACTTCATACCTACCAAAAATGATATTAATCGGATATCAACAACTATATAATCGAATTGCATATTATTTATGTTATTTCTCAAAATAAAACTTATTATTTATTTTTTTTGGTTATCGATCATATAGTTGTTGATATCCGATTAATATGATTTTTGGTAGGCATGAAGTACTCAACAAACCCTACAAAATCGATGGTTTGGATCATAAAAATAAGGTTATAATACACCTCAAATGGATGCACTACAGTCACTGCTGTGCCTCACGCACAGCAGTGACCCCTTATCCCCCTCAAACATAACGATATTTCAACTTAACCATTTTTCATGCCAAGCTATTTAAAAAGGTAATATTTTTTTTTTACCAAATTCTTTACCAATAACAATTTCACAACTTTTTCTAAAATTACTTAACAAACATGATATTTACATCAAAATTTATGAAATATGCCCAATAGTAACATCTTCAAGATTTTGAGTTCGAAAGTCCACATTTCACATTTTTATTTTTATGATAAAAATGAACACAACTTAATCATCAATATATCATCTTTTATAAAATATCATGAATATAACACTTTTAGAGTTTTTAATCCCAAAACAACTCTATAATTCCTACTTAAGCATTTACTCCATATTCCTCAATATTAATTTATTTTTCTCAAAAATAAATTCCAAATCAAAGATAAAAAAGAATTCAACTTTATATTTCTCAAAATAAATCATCTAATCATAAGATGAAGTAGATACAATCCATACAGCTATTAAATTCAATTTTCGGATTTCTTTTTACAAAATTAACAACACAAAATGATTTTTCAAAAATTAATCTCAAAATACCAACATTCTTAACATTTCAACATAATTTTTCTTCCAAAAATTACCAAACAAAAATCTGAAAATATATCTATATCCAATACCTCTTATAATGATATATTTTTTCAAAATAACCTAACATAGCTTTAATGTAAAAATATGAAGAAAGTCCCTACCTCAAATGTGAAGAAAAGCTAATCTGAAAATGCAAACATCACCCGATCATGAATCCGAGAACACCATTGCGAAGATCACGACGAGCTCTCCAACTTTCATTTACAACACTTTTGCAAAATCTCACTCTAAAGATTTCCATTTGAAACTCAAAAATTGAGCAACAATGGAGAATAAAAAAAGAGGAGAGGGAGAGGGAGAGAGATACACGTTGGGAGAGAGACCAAGAGAGCAGAGCTCTCTGCTCAATCCAAAGAAAATGAAATGATGAAAAGGAAAGGAAGGGGAAAAAGAGAGGGGAGTGGGAAACAACCCCAAGTGGGTTTGCTTTTTCAATGATGGGTTTTTCAAAAAAAAATAATTTAATTTTTGTAATAATAACTCAGAATTTTATAATATTAATTATAAAATGATATAATTTTTCTCACCACAAAATATAATATTTTTGTACACCACAAAATATAATATTTTGTTTACTACGAAATATATACATTTTCATTTTATATAAAATATATAATTTTTCACCATATGGTACACACCATAAAATCAACTATTAAATATTTATTATAATTACTATATAATAAATAATAACAACTCCCAAGGTGGTTACTACCAATCACATAATTAAAAAGGATCAAACAGTTAAACATGAGTCACAAACAAATTCAAATTAAATTGAATCTAAATCATGGGTCTCACCCATAAGTCAAACATGATCCAATTATATACCAAGATAGACCCAGCAAATTTATCCAAATCATAATCTAAACATTCAAAATTAAATAACAAAAATTTTGCTTTAAATTAAACTGAACACCAATCAGTCCGTGAATTTTCATAAAATAAATACTCATCATTAAATTCTGAAAGTTTTATCCAACGTGCTAGACTCATATGGGAATAACATATAAAAATTTCATAATTTTCTGAGATCGGAAGCTATTTTTAAAAAATACAAAACTGAACTGTTTTCGCACAGAATTTGCAAAGCAATCAAATTTGAAGATTTTCTCAATTAAATTATGCACTGTCTATTTTTTTTAAAAAAAAAATTCTGGGTCATTACAGACACATAAGTGACACTACTCGAGCGAATAAAGTGACCGCTCGAGCGCACAATGACACCTCCCAGAAGTTCAGACCAGACAAGGCAGACCGCTCAAGTGACCAAATCTGCGCTCGTGCGAAGATTAACAACTCTCAAAATCACAGACCTATAAAAGTACTGAAAGACTCGAAAAACCACTCGAGTGACCAATCCATCACTCAAGAAATGAAGAAAAACTCAGAGTGCTACAACAAGAAGGTAAAAGTCACGATCGACAAAGGTAACAACCGTAGTAGACAAGTGTTTCACCGGTCGATCGGCAAATACAAATTTAGCCAAACTCAAATTCGAGCTACCAATCATTTTTCTTAAAGTTATAAAGCGAAAAATTATTAGGTACTCTTGGAATATCTGCTGTCTATATTCCTTCACCAATCATCATTTATTATACCTCCTCATATTCCTCAAGCACTCAGCACAAAATCATAATACCCCATATTTTTCATCAATTATAATATTATAAAACAACATATGGCCATGTTCTAGGAATATCCAATAATCAAGCAGTGAAAACAGACTTGAGTAGGAAATGAAATGGATCAGAGAGGATCACAATTAAAAATGATCCTTACAAGTTGTTTGATAAATTTTTTTTGGTAAATTACATTTTACTCTAAAATTTGGTCTTTTTTTTTTAATAATATTTTGGGCCTTAATTTTTTTTTTCACCTTGACCCTTTATATTTTAAATTTTCTCAATTTACTCTTAAAACTAATTTTTATTCAAAATTTAACAGAAAATGTTCTATTAACAATCACATAACATAAAAATTATATTATTATATTGAAATTTGAATTTGTATTAGAGGTGTGAGTTATATATAGCAATGCCAACCCTACCATAAGGCAGGTGAGGTGGTTGCTTCAGGCCACAATTATTCAAAAGGCCTCATATTCTTATAAATTTGCATACTATAAATTGTTCTATTAAAAGGCTATTTTTTATTTTTATTTATTTTTATTTTTTTTAAGCACATGGAATTGTTTATGAAAAAGGTCATGTTTATTTTTATTTTTATTTTTTCTCCATATTATAGGATGTTAATAAGTTAGTAAAGTTAGATTAAGTACATATAGAACGATATTATTTAACTTCAGTATTTTTTTAATAATGATTTTCAAATAAGAAATCAATCACAGGAATTCATATAAATGGTGATATAAGATGGTGATAAAAAATAGGTAATATATAACATTTTCTTTCATATTTTGAAGTTTATTGATTCGCTATTATTTAATTGATTTGTAATGTGAAGTTGCGGGTTCAACTTTTATAGGGAAGAATTTGATATTTGTAGTATTTATTCTCCCCTATTAATAAGGTTGTAATAATTGTTTATTTTTTCTCAAATTTGGGCTTAGTGATTGTTGGCTTTTTAGTTATTATTGGGGCTAGTGCTCTATTTGATATAATACTTCTCATATTTGTAATTGTTCTCATACTGATTGATTAAAAAAAGATTTAATTAGTAATATTAACTATTGAGGCAAAAAAATAGTTTTTTTTAGCTATCTTTTGTAGTTTAATTTGCTTGTGTGATGTTCATAATCTAGGGGGAAATAATTTTGTTTCTTAATTTTTATGGATTCAAGTTTGGTTGTGTCAATGTAAATTTTTTTTAGTTCAGCATGAATCCATCAGTAGGCTTCAATTTAGAGGACTCACAGTACCTTGGGCCGGCCCTGATATATAATAATTTATTTGTATGTCACATGAGTCAAGGTGTTATTTTCTATCTAATTTTGGACATCAGTTAGCTTTTGAAGTAAATTAAGAAAAAATTGAAACATAAAGGGTCAAAGTGGGAAGAAAAAAAAAAATTCAAGAGCAAAAATGAGAAAATGACCTAATTTTTCATTTTCATTTTGTGTGTGTGTAGAAACTGATAATATTTTAGTTCTCTATTACTTTAAATATAGTAAAGGCTAGATTTAGTGTAGATGTTTCTTCCATCATGATTTTACTTTTCTAGAACTTTTCATAACCATTTGATAGGAAGAATTGTCAAGAAAATATTGATTTATATATTCTGTGTGAGTTAAAATATGACTACACAACCAACTAGAATCTAACTCCAAGATTTCGGGAACAAGCCGAAGAGTATGTGCATTAAATAGGTCTAACACCTGCAAGTAGGGCTGTGCAGCGGATCCATCGACCCGCCACACCCGACCGACCCGACCCGACCCGACCAGCAACGGATGGATGCGTGCCACGTGGCGGGCGGGTGCGGGCCTAGATTATAATTTTTTTCGAGTTCAGGTCGGGTTGCGGTTGATCTGCCATTTTAGTCGGCAGACCCGACCTGACCACAATGGCTATTTTTTTTTTTGGGCTGATATATGCCTCATTTTCCCCCCTTTTCGTTTCTGATATGCATAGCTCTCTCTCATTTTGCCCTAATTTCAACATTCTCATTCTCTCTCTCTCTCTCTCTCTCTCTCTCTACCCTATACATCGTCGAATGATCTATACATACACGGCGTCGATGATCGATCTACACGGCGTACACGGCGTCGGCGATCGATCTACACAGTGACTGAGGTATCTCTCTCTCTCTCTCTCTCTCTCTCTCTCTCTTGTTTCCTCTTCTTCTCATCTTCTTTTGCTTTCCTCTTCTTCTTTTCTTCTGATGATCTGAGTGTCTAATCTGTTTTTTTTTTTTTTTGTTCCAGTTCTAAAACAAAATAGATGGTTAGATTGATCGATCTACAGTCTACTAGTCTACACTGACTGTTCTCTCTCTCTCTCTCTCTCTCTCTCTCACCTTCTTCTTCTTCTTCTTAACTGTTTTTTTTTTGTTTTGTTTTTGGTTCCAGTTCTAAACTTCTAAATCTAATCTGTTAGAGTCTAATCTATTATTATTATTTTGTTTGGTTCCAGTTCTAAAACTAGAGACGTGGTTAGATTGATTGACACAGTCACTCAGTGTTAACTGTTAAGGGTTCTACACACAGAGAAAGGAATACAGAGAGAAAACCACAGAGAGGTTTGGTTTATTTTTTTTGATTCAGAATCTGTTTTAATCTGTTCACAATCTGGAATTACTTTGGAGTATTCAATTTCCTTTGGATGTCAAACAATTATACTTACCGGAATGTGTTTACCGAAATGCACTTGCTAAAACATAACATGCTTCCTTTTCTTTCCTCTTTCCTGTTGTAATGTTTTTTCCATCAATAAAACATTACTTGTTTTTTGAAAGAAATAAGTCCAATAGCTGGAAGCATATGTACCCTGGAAAATAATCTAAAGAGAACATCTAAGCAACATTGTTTAATGTATGTATGATGGCTTAGCTTGAAATCTATAGAATATGGATATGCCAAGTATAACTTATAATATAATTTGAGTTTGAGTTTTTTGGTCTCACATCTAATGTTTGGCTTATAACTTATAAATATGATGTGAGAATATGGTTTATAACTTATAAATATGATGTGTTTGTTTACAAATATGATTTGGCTTATGTAAACTCAAATTTTGATGGAGAACTTATAAACATATCACATCATATTTATAAACATATTTATAAACTCAAATATGATGTGTAGCAAATCATATTTATAAACATATCATATAAAATATGTTTGACTTATAACTTATAAATATGATGTGCAGCAAATCTGCCATTCATCTTCACATGTGATGTGAGACCAAAAAACATTAGATGAAGAATATGGTTGGCTTATAACTTATAAATATGGATATGCCAAGAAAACATTATAGAATATGGATATGCCAAGTATAACTTATATTATAACTTATAACTTATAATATAAGCTAAAGCATTAGCCGTTATTAAATTTGAGTTTTTTCTTCTTCCATTATCATACATACATAATGAATTGGCTTGTAGAATATGGATATGCCAAGTACTTGGGTCAAACAGATATTCCAAACCCAATACCCATAACATGAGTATGGAGTCCATTTAACAAGTGACGTGAGAACATAACTTCAGGAAGTTATCCTAGAGAATAAGACTGATGTACTTTGGAAAACTAATGGTACTATGACATATGTTCCTTAATTTGTAATTTAGTCAGTGAACTAAATTTGTTATTATATTATGAATCAAATTATGATCATATATTACTTAGTTTGTTTAAAGATTAAACTTTAATCTATTATTATTATGAATCAAATCATGATAATATATTATTAATTCTGTTCTGTAATTTAGTCAGTGAACTAAATTTGTTTAAAGATTAAACTTTGATTCATAATACATTAGTCAATGAACTAATCGTACTTAGTGAACATTAGTCAGTTTAAACTTACTGATTCATCTTACTTAGTTTAAACTTATCTCATTAATCAGTGAACATTAAACACTGTCCATTCTTTTATCTTCATATGCCATTTAACATGTTCAAGCAGAGACAAAGAGTCTGATGGTTGTTTTTCAAAAAGAGCATGGATTTGAGAAACATATTTTGAATGATTTTTTATTGGTTGTTGGCAGTTTATTTGATAATCTTTTGGTCATGGATCCTCCAAGTGAATAAACTTTTTTTGTGAGTCCTAATGTTGAGCCCGAATCATCTGCTACTGACCCTTTTACCCAATCTAATGCTCCCCCTCGTAGACCACCCTTGGCCAAAACTAGTAGTAGTGGGAGAACAACATCAAAGGCTTGGGATCATTTTGAAAAGATTAAGGGTATTGATGGGAAAGATAAGGCTATGTGCAAGTATTGTAAGAAAGAATATATGGCAGGCTCTAAGAGTCACGAAACAAGTAATTTGTTAAGTCATATGAAAAATTGTACAAAGTATCCATATAGGGACACTCATGGGCAACAAACATTGGGATTTCAACCTAGAGAAGTTGGCAGTGATGGTGAGGGTGTTGTTGATGTTGTGGTTACGCCATTTTCCATAGAAGTTGCTATGAGGCATCTTGCCGAGATGATAGTAATTGATGAATTGCCCTTTAGATTTGTGGATGGGGTTGGTTTTAAGACGTTTTGTAATGTCATGCAACCCAAGTTCAAGATTCCATCTCGATATACTGTTGCTAGGGACATTGTAGACATATACACTAATGAAAGAGAGAGGTTGAAGAAAATTGTGAAGGGGCGCAGAATTTGCTTTACCACAGACACATGGACTTCCATACAAAATTTGTGTTATATGTGTCTAAATGCACATTTCATCGATGATGATTGGAAGTTACAAAAGAGAATTATAAATTTTTGTCAAGTTGAAGACCACAAAGGAGAAACACTTGGTAAAAAAATTGAGGCACTCTTAAAAGAGTGGGACATTGATGGCCTTTTCACCTTAACTGTTGATAATGCGAGTTCCAATAATCTAACCATTAGATTCTTGAAACGAACCACAAAATTATGGAAGGGAACTGTCTTGGGCCATGAATTTTTGCATATGCGTTGTTGTGCGCATATTCTAAATTTCATTGTTAGTGATGGATTGAAGGATCTTAAGTCTTGTATAGCGAATGTGAGGCATGCAGTGAGGTATGTGAGGTCATCTCCAAACCGCCTTGACTCTTTTAAGAAGTATGTGGAAAGTTTGAAAATTGAGAGTAAGAGTCTCTTGTGCCTAGATGTGCCAACACGGTGGAATTTTACATATCTTATGTTGGAGGCAGCAGAAAAATTTGAAAGTGCTTTTCAAAGAATGGGTGAGGAGGACTACAATTATAAACAGTACTTTTTGGATAATGAAGGGGGTGAGAGGAGAGAGATGCCTACCGCCGAGGCTTGGGATAATTGTAGGGTGTTTTTGAAATTTCTTAGAATGTTCTACAATGCAACAAAGAGATTTTCTGGCTCTTTATTTGTTACTTCAAATACATTCTACACTGAAATTTTTGTCATTGAAAATATGATTGGACAATTAATCAAAAACAATGATCCTATTTTGTCTTCAATTGCAAAAAAAAAAATGAAAGAGAAGTTTGACAAGTATTGGGGAAATGGGGATAAAATCAATCTCCTTTTGTACATTGCGGTTGTTCTTGACCCTCGAAGAAAAATGACATACTTGCAATTTTGTTTTTCAACAATTTTTGGTGGAGATGTTGTGAAAGTGAAAGAAATGTTGGAGAAGGTGAAAAATTGTTTGAGTAAATTGTATGATCATTATGCCGCGAAATGAGTCCAATAGCTGGAAGCATATGTACCCAGGAAAATAATCTAAAGAGAACATCTAAGCAACATTGTTTAATGTATGTATGATGGCTTAGCTTGAAATCTATAGAATATGGATATGCCAAGTATAACTTATAATATAATTATAGAATATGGATATGCCAAGTATAACTTATAATATAATTATAGAATATGGATATGCCAAGTATAACTTATAATATAATTATAGAATATGGATATGCCAAGTATAACTTATAATATAATTATAGAATATGGATATGCCAAGTATAACTTATAATATAATTATAGAATATGGATATGCCAAGTATAACTTATAATATAATTATAGAATATGGATATGCCAAGTATAACTTATAATATAATTATAGAATATGGATATGCCAAGTATAACTTATAATATAATTATAGAATATGGATATGCCAAGTATAACTTATAATATAATTATAGAATATGGATATGCCAAGTATAACTTATAATATAATTATAGAATATGGATATGCCAAGTATAACTTATAATATAATTATAGAATATGGATATGCCAAGTATAACTTATAATATAATTATAGAATATGGATATGCCAAGTATAACTTATAATATAATTATAGAATATGGATATGCCAAGTATAACTTATAATATAATTATAGAATATGGATATGCCAAGTATAACTTATAATATAATTATAGAATATGGATATGCCAAGTATAACTTATAATATAATTATAGAATATGGATATGCCAAGTATAACTTATAATATAATTATAGAATATGGATATGCCAAGTATAACTTATAATATAATTATAGAATATGGATATGCCAAGTATAACTTATAATATAATTATAGAATATGGATATGCCAAGTATAACTTATAATATAATTATAGAATATGGATATGCCAAGTATAACTTATAATATAATTATAGAATATGGATATGCCAAGTATAACTTATAATATAATTATAGAATATGGATATGCCAAGTATAACTTATAATATAATTTGAGTTTGAGTTTTTTGGTCTCACATCTAATGTTTGGCTTATAACTTATAAATATGATGTGAGAATATGGTTTATAACTTATAAATATGATGTGTTTGTTTACAAATATGATATGGCTTATGTAAACTCAAATTTTGATGGAGAACTTATAAACATATCACATCATATTTATAAACATATTTATAAACTCAAATATGATTGCTGCAAATCATATTTATAAACATATCATATAAAATATGTTTGGCTTATAACTTATAAATATGATGTGCAGCAAATCTGTCATTCATCTTCACTTGCCATTCATCTTCACATGTGATGTGAGACCAGAAAACATTAGATGGAGAATATGGTTGGCTTATAACTTATAAATATGGATATGCCAAGAAAACATTATAGAATATGGATATGCCAAGTATAACTTATATTATAACTTATAACTTATAATATAAGCTAAAGCATTAGCCGTTATTAAATTTGAGTTTTTTCTTCTTCCATTATCATACATACATAATGAATTGGCTTGTAGAATATGGATATGCCAAGTACTTGGGTCAAACAGATATTCCAAACCCAATACACATGACATGAGTATGGAGTCCATTCCTGGAGTCCATTTAACAAGTGATGTGAGAACATAACTTCAGGAAGTTATCCTAGAGAATAAGACTGATGTACTTTGGAAAACTAATGGTACTATGACATATGTTCCTTAATTTGTAATTTAGTCAGTGAACTAAATTTGTTTTTATATTATGAATCAAATTATGATCATATATTACTTAGTTTGTTTAAAGATTAAACTTTAATCTATTATTATTATGAATCAAATTATGATAATATATTATTAGTTCTGTTCTGTAATTCAATCAGTGAACTAAATTTGTTTAAAGATTAAACTTTGATTCATAATACATTAGTCAATGAACTAATCTTACTTAGTGAACATTAGTCAGTTACTTGCCCTTGAGACAAATTTATTCTTTGTCCTGCAGCAATTAGTCTATTATTCTTTGTCCTGCAGCAATTAGTCTATTATTCTTTGTCCTGCAGCAATTACTTGCCCTTGAGACAAATTTATTCCTTGGTGGCCTTTGGTTTCTATGATCAACATAGAGATATGAGACTGGACATTGATAACATGTCATATGAGGTTTGTTAAGTTGATGCTTTTTGGAATTGTTGAAGTTGTCTTTGTGCTTATGGTTTTATTTTTGTGCTTATGGTTTTATTTTTTAACAGGAATTATTAGCTCTAGAAGAGAAGATGGGTACTGTGAGGAAGGAGCCATGAGATGCAGTGGGCATGAAGATATCAAATGAAGTATTTGTCAGGTTTTGTTCCTATGAATATAGACTACTATGCTTTCTCATTCTCAATTGATTCTGTCCCTAATTTATCTGCAATTTTCACTAGAATTTGCAATTAGGTTTGTGTTTAGCTCGTGTATGTGTCAGGTCTGTAAACACAGCATTGCAGGAAGAGTATGGCATCGGAGATGAGGTGGCAAGGTTGAAGTGCGAGCACGGGTATCATATGGTATGTATAGAGCAGTGGCTGCAGTTGAAGAATTGGTGCCCAATCTGCAAGGCTTCAGCAGTGTCATCACGGTCATCATCTTCACCACCTCTCTAGTTGAGTTGATATTATGTGCCAAATCTGAAAATGACCATTTTATTTCAGTACATATCATGTGGCTCTCTCTTCATTTCTCTTTTTCTTTATTTTCTTTTGACTATGTAAATAGAAAGTCCATTTCTTAATGTAAAACAATAAGCCCAGGCTCTTTTGCTTTGTGGTGGGAACTCCAAATTTAACTTCAACACAACTTCAAATGAAAAGATTCTCAAATTTCTGTTGTTTACTATTGGAACAAAGTTCATTCAGGGTTTTTGTTTCTTATTTTTATTTTTTGGTTGGTTGATAGTTTCATTGTCCTATACAGGTTGAATCACGGATGTAGTCAAGATTGTGTATTTGATTTCCAGACTTGGTTTAGGGATAGTTTTGTGCACTGGGTCGCCTTTCTAATTGGTGGATTGTATGTGTGAGCAGATATATATACATATCATTATTATCATTTTTGACTTCATGTCTTTGTAACTAGGACCTCCTCATTCACTTAAATACCTCATATGAAATTTGACTCTTAAGACATTTGAAAATATATGAGTTTGGACTTCACAGTAGTAAAAATAGTCATGAATGAAGAAGATTTGTTTGAAATATGCAAAGAGCTTAAATACTTCTGATATTGACTGCCTTGGAAATTAACTTCAGTTTTCCCATGCTGCACACCAACCTAGTTTATGGCATTTTTCGGGTTCGGGTGGGGTGGGGGGGGTTTTTTTTTTTTTTTTTGGTTGAAAATTTGTAAAATTTCAAACCGCCAAACCGATTCGTATCAATCCGCCAATCCGCCAAATCCGCATCCGCCGGATTGGCGGATGGATGCGGATTGATTTTCTCCAATCTGCCAATCTGGCGGACGGATGACGGATTGGAGGTTTCGTGGCCGCAACCGATCCGCGCCCACCCCTACCAAGAACAAGACAGAAACTTAGAGGAGAGAGATCGAGTAATCTCCATTTCTGGGTTTTTTGGGTCAATGTCAGAGGTGGATGATAAAGGTCTAGAAAATGATAACAAAAATGGTAGAGAGAGAAAGTAGGTAATGAAGTGGTTGTGGTGGTGGTGGGGTGGTTATGGAGGAGAGAGAAATAAAGGTTTGAAAAGAGAGAAAGAGAGGTGAGGATGTGTTAGAACAATCTTTTGTGTATGAGAAAATAATTTGAAACAAATCAAACAAATAAAAATAAATTATTTGCAGAATTTATTTACCAAAATGAATAAGTACAAAAAAAAATGATCAAGTCGAGTGTATGACACTCTGTCCTTAAGACATATTCGCCCCGCTCAGGTGCTTACTGAATAATGGCGTCTATCTCCCAGACTACAATGATATTTCACAGATTGTAGTAGTACTCTAAACAATCTGTACGGCGAACTAGAACATGTGTTCTTTGCTCTTAGAATTTTTGTCTAAAACTAATATGAAGAAAATATCTATGCAAGAGAGAAAAATGGAAGGCACGCATAGAATTTCAGATTTTAAAAAAGTTGCTAGAAGAGGGTCTGCTTTTATTGGCAAAGTGGTGACCCTTTAAAAGAACTGAGCATATATTATTTCAAACTGAACAGGTCTAAACGTGACAAAACATGTGCAAACTGTTTGGAACAATTTTGAATCTGTCTGGGAAGAAATAAATTTGTCCGATGCAAACTGTTTAAACAAGTTGAAAATTTTGTTTAAATCTACTGGAAAATGGGCTGGAAGAGAGACTATTTGTACAGAAAATTTGAATCCAAATTTAGCGCAAAAGTTTGAATTACGCAAGAATTTGAAAAAATTCAAATAAATTTTGTCCAAAAAATTAATGTTAGGACCTAACCCACAATCAGACCTGACCTTGCTCGGCTGAACGAACGGCAGAGGCGACACGTGCGTATGGTGGTTTGAGTCAAAGCTCACTTTGTCTATAACTCCTCCCTTCTACAAACTTGGGGTGCCCCTTAGGGCACAACCCAAGTATGTCCACCTAGAGTTTATATACACACACAAGCTCTCTTAAAATTTCAATGTGGGACAACCATTTTAAGGTAACCCACATTTGACTCTTTAATTTCCTATTTCACGAACCCGAAAACGATGTCAAGTTCTCATTCACTCATAAATGATTTTGACGAACCGTCTTCACGGTGTGACTTACCATGTAGCAAGGAACACATCATTTCTTTGGACCCACCCCAAAAGACGTGTGGACCACACTCAAATTTAGGCTCAAAGTTGGCCCAAAATAAGCCTATAAAAATCATAATTTCCAACAATCCCTCACATGAATGGAGTTTGACAAAGAGAAAATGCAACAACATGATCTCATTACAGAGAGTACAGAAATCGGGAATATTCTACAAAGTATAGGTAACTTTTGGCTTTGAACCTTTCCTTGTGAGACACTATCAGATTTACTAGCTAACCAATGAACATGATGTCTTGAACTGTTCAATCATTTGTATAAACCAAGACAATAGAACTCATACAGTATATTACTAAACACAGTTTAGTTCTCACTATTGTGTTCATTTTGGCCCTGAGTGCTTTAGAGAATTGATGCCTTTCACAAATTTCATAGAACCGACCCAGTTCACACTTATATAGGTGATTCTTATGAAGAGTATCTTGCCATACTCCACTACGTATTCCTAGATATAAGATCATTAAAAGTATTACTTAACCTAAAACGCTGCTAACATCACTATTTCATCATAGAAATGGGTAGGAGTTTAACTCCCCAGTGATCCTTTCGAGTCATACACAACTCGGTTGTCCCTTTGAACCTAGATCTTGGGATCTCCAGTTGTCACAACCCAAACTCACCCCTATAGGTTTAGCTTCGTAACTAGCCAATAATCCTGAGATTACTGAAGGCCTCTGAAATAGATTAACATAATATTAGGGGCTAACAAAAGCAAATAACAAATATACAATGTCTATTAAGCTATGCAGACATATATGGGATAGAAAAATTTAAAACTTTATATATATACATATTATCACATCATTCATACATCATCATACATGTACAGATGAGAGAAAATGGGACTTAGCCCTACTTACAAAGTAAACAAAGATTGGTTTAACCAAACAAGAAAACAAAACTTAAATTTTAATCACATAGCCATAACCACTTGACATATCCAAAACCTCCACGGGAGGCACATAAGTTGGCCAACAAAAATAGATTCCAAGCAAACACTTCTAAGCTTGGTCACGCGCTTGATCACCTACATACATAAACAATACAGTGAGTTGGAGCCCAGTGAATAATAACAAAGTAAAGGGTTTTAATGAATGATGTCCATCACGAAGTCAGAAATCAGAATTTATATCAGAAACAGATTCTTATCAAAAACAGAGTCTTATGTATATTTAGATTTCAAATCAAAAACAGATTCATATCCATATTTGTATTCAGAAATCAGAGTTCATAAATAACCATACATGGTACATCCATTAGCGCTAGCAAATTCGATGACTCATAATTGGGACGACCATAAAGGCAATCCGATGACTCATGTGCACAGAAACGTTTCCGATAACCCATAAAGGGACAGCTATAAAGGCATTCCGATGACCCATAAAGGGACGCATATCATATAACGCTAAGGATGCCACGAATATATTTCAGAAATTTGGACAATCATTCATTCATACAAACATAACATTTCAGACAACTGTTCATTTTATATCATCAAAAAATAATTAAAGTCAAACATAGCTTTACAGAGTTATTACTCACAGATAGCTTCAGAAGCAGATCAGACAGATTTGACAAATCAGATAGATCAGGCAAACGATAGCGCGTGACCTACACAAACAGATAACATATACACATTGAAACACAATATCACTTCCTTAATCAAACTAGACTTCTCTTGTATTTTTCTATCTGAGTAATCCGAAATTCTACTACATGTATTCTTTCTTATTCAAATGAACCGAATTCTTATTCCACATACTCTTTCATTACCAAATCTCTTTTTTTCCAAATAAACCGATTTCTTACTTGGCTTCTTAATCAATTATTACTAAATCAGTGATTTATTCCTTAACCAACTAATTTATGTTAATTGTTAGTTTATTAATCTTGTTATGTCATACTTATTGCCTATGAATGCTTGGAAAGAGATGAGATTGAAAATATGAACTAAATGTCATTTTCCAAAATGTGCTGAAAAAGGGCTGTTCGCTTGAGCGAACTTTTGATCGCTCGAGCGACCTGTAAAAACTGCAAAAGTATTGGAAGCCTTCAATGTGCGCTCGAGTGGTCTGTAAAATTTCAGAGTTCTGAATTTCTAAAAAATGGCTTCCAAATGCATTTTTAATCTTTAAACCCATATTAATCTTGATCAAAACTTTGAAAATACTTTAGAAAACATAAACACATATTTATTTATAAATTATTTGCTCAAAATCTTGAAACACAATATTTAAATCAAAACCTTACTTAATTTCAAAATCAAAACCAATGAACTCATGGTTCTAAAATTCTTTTTCAAAATCAAATGCACAATAAAATTGCATGCAATTTATGGAGCTTAATTTAATTACAACTTTCAAAATCAAATCCAAAATAATTAATTTCTAAATTAACTTTCATAACTTGAGCTTATCTCCAATTCTTTATTTTCATGTCAATTTCTTTTGTTTTTAATCACATAAATTGATTTCAAACCCTTTTCCCATTTTCCTTCAAACATGGAATCAAAGTTGTAAACTCCTTAGAAAATCATTTGCATGTATGAATTTGACATTAAAATAAACTAATTTTATGTTTTTATTAATTTTCTTCGTATTTATCCCAAATTTAAACTTATAAGTCTTTCACACATAAATTAAGGCCTAAAACCTTAAAATTCCAACATGCATGTAAGGATGAGTTTCAAATTTATGAAGAATAACAAAAATCACACTCAAACTAATTAATTTCCAAATTTATTTTCATAATCTTACACTTAATTTTTCTTCATCTTCTTGCTAATTTTTTTTAATTACATGATATTGATTCCAATTTCATCTTTAATTTCAAGTGTAATGTAATGATTCTACACAAATTAAACATAAATTTCATACCTTGAGTTTTCGTTTCAGAATATTTAATTGAATCCCTTCTAATTCCTCTTAGGTTTCTTCAAAAACTTGAGCTTTCCTTTCAATGTTTCTTCTCCTCTTTTGTTTCCTTTGTTCCAGCAACTCTCTTTTCTTCTTTTCTCTCTCTCTCTCGGTTTCC